TTTTTTGGGTTGTTGCACCTTTATTAACTCTAAACTTCATTACTATGATCATCTAGTATTTGCTCTGTTTGTAATCGAATTCTGGTTGATTCAGATGAAACATGCACTGAACTTTACGGAACTTACAAAATTCTTCTTTATTTGGAACATGTATTTGCTCATCATGTGATTAAATATTGTTCTAATTTCTTTTCCCTAAACCCCGCGTATCGGAAATCTTGTGATTAGTTTGTTTTATCAATTCAGGTTCCATCTTTTTGTGATTCTAATCAAAACCCATGTTTTAATTTTGGAAGATAACAACTTATGAACACTAAAATATCTATCTGACATTATTATTATTATTATACTAATTCGGTAAAATTCAATAGTGCCTCTCCTTTTTTGTAGGCTAAACATAAATGGAAACTAAGCAAGTGAAAATTGAGATTTATTGTGCCTCTCCTTTTTCGGCATTGAGCACCTTGTTATTGCATGATTCCTAGGCTGTTTGCAATAAACTTTATAACAAACTCAATTTCATTGATGAAAACTCTTGGAATGTAGGTGTTCTCATTGTGCTTGGGTTGGGAACTACGTTTCGGCTTGCATTGGAGTGCTGCCAAGACTGGGGATCTCGAAGACACAAGCACAGCATAAATATACTTGTATGTATAATAATACACTTCATTATACAAAGAATGCCAGTTTTAGTTTTTGTGGGTTTTAGCTTGATCATTCTTTTCATTTATTACTAGTTAATCACTTCTCTTTGAGTGATGAAAACAGTTGGTGATTCTAGATCAAGTTCAAAAGAGAAGAGATCATTTGAGGTAAATTCTTTTAAAAATCCTATATTAGTTCATCATGGACATAAAACAGCTCTTCATATTATTCATTTCTTGGTAACATGCTAGCTTGCATAATAACTTCTGAAGCATTCTTTGCTAAAAAAAAATTAGGAAATGCTCCATTAAGCATGTCATAGATACAGTGAACTTTAGAAAAGCGTTAAGAACGTGTCAGACTTGGTTATTTGAGGGGTCGAAAATTAATTGTATCAAGGGGTAGAAAAGTAATAGCATCATTCTCCTATTAATAAACTAACATTGTTAAGAGGGAGGGCTAGAAAAAACAAATATCAAAGAATTGGAGCGTAAATTTTTATTTGGCAATTTATCTATGACATTGGATATATATCATCAGTGTTGTATCTACGTTCATAACTTTGACCTTTTTTTATTTAAGAATGCTAAATGAACTTAAAAAGGTTGTAAGATGCTTAGTTTGTGCTTGTAGTTTGTAAATTAAATTATTTGACACTCAAGACTGTGGTAAAATTTAACAATAATGACATTTAAGACAGTAGTAACAATGAAATATAAAAGATGAAATTTTTTTTATATCTAAGATGTGTAATTTATTTTCAGAATGCTGATTGAACTTTAAAAGGTTGTAAGATTCTTAGTTTGGGTTTGCTTCTTGCAGTCTGTCAATTAAAATGTTTGACATTCAGACAACTGTTGATTAGACAATACATACAAAAGAAGGAAATGTTTAAATTTAGAGATGCTAATATTGGGTAAAATATGCAGGAACCAACAAGATACCCAGTCCATTTTTCGGCCATAATGCGTCGAAAGCTCATCTAAACCATTATTTTCTTTTGAATATGCTTAACCATGGGTAAAATATGCAGGAACATTAGCAATAGTTGACTTCCAAAATTCGGATAATATATAGCAATAGTTGACTTCCAAAATTCGTTGCAGGATAATACTCACTGTTTCTTACTTTTTATCTATTTTTTCGTCCTTTGTTGCAACAGATTTCTTTTTTTACAATCCTTCAACTTAATACAATCCATTTAAAGTCCTTGTATTTCTTATTTTGTAGGTCATGAGCAAACCTCTTGCAACGAAGCGTAAAAGGATTATGAGGAAGAGAAAGAGTTAGAGAATATTGAATCAGAAAATGGAGATTATGAGGAAGATTTTATAGAGTCTGACAATGAGGTGATAAGGGAAGATGAAGAGAGAGAGGTCAATGTAAATGAGGAGATAAGAGAAGATGAACAAAGAGAGGTCGACGAAGACGAAGATGAAGAGATAAGGGAAGATGAACAAAGAGAGGTACAACAGCCCAAAAATCATAGAGGGCCAACTAAGTGTTTAAAAGTATATGAATGAGGCATAGATGCACGTCCAGTTGTAATTTTAGACAAATTTAGGGTACCTATTGGACTGACAGATAATATCTTAAATGAACTTAGTAGTTTTTTGGGTACCCTTGGAAGAAATCCAAGACGAACACCACTAGATAAGAATTGGCACGACATTGGGAAACAAGACAAAGATAGTTTGTGGGAATATGTGAAGGTATGATATAGCACAAAAAAATCATTTTGTGTAATGACAAGGTAGATTTTAACTTGTATATTGTTATGTCATTGTAGGAGAAGTATTCAATTGCCGATTCAGGACGAAAATGGACCTTGCAAACAATTAATAGTGCATGGAGGCGGTGGAAGTGCTTGCTGAAACGTTAATGCTTTACTAGTTTGAAAAATGATGGAGAAAGATGGAAAAAGCGCCCCAAGACTGTTCCCAAAGGTCAATTTAGAGCTTTACTAAAGATTTGATATTCTACAAATGCAAGGGTAACTTTTACTTCTTGACATTGTGTTACTATTTTCTGAACGCACGCGTGATAATAGCAGTGACTACAGGAAAACAAACATTTGTTGATTTTATTCTTAATTTATTATTTTCCGTCCTAAATAATTTGTGTGGCAATATACTGAGATTAGGAGTTAAGATGTCCATGGACTAAATATCTAACTGCATATTTGATAGAGCTGACAAACTGATAGAGATATAAAAGGATAGCATTAGAAGCTGTCAAAATTGAAGATACTTCTAAAATATGCAACTAAGAGGAACTAGAATACACTCACCAGACCAGGAGAACCATTTTTCTGAGAGGTCACAATTCATCAGGTATTGAGATTGTATACATGCTAATTTCCTCCTTTTGTTTCAGGGGGCAGTAGGCATTGAAGCTAAGTTTGTTTATTTTTTTTAATTACATCGTGTGGTTCTATTGATCTTTTCTAGCATACGGGTATTGGATGGAGTTTGTTTACAATTTATTAATCTATATTAACATTGGTATTACTTATTGCCGAACAGAGTCAATGGATGGAGGATGCAAACATGCCAACTGAATTTAGTGTCAGATTTTTCTATAACTTGATGAATTTGAATAGAAGATGTGCTCTTATGGTCTTGCCTTTGCTGCGTCCAAATGATCGGCAGTGCAAATTAATCTTGTTTGGCTAGCTTATGTTTTATCACTCACAAATAGCAAATGGTAGCAAGAAATTATTGTTCATCGATTTGTTTCCAGATGTGAGTCCCGTACATCATAAAGACTACAGATAGTTGTATTACATGTTAGTAGTGGACTCACCAGACCAGGAGAACCATTCAATTCAATATCTCGTGGATGTTTGCTGGGCTGCACTTTAGTTGCATAGGTCTACCTTGCTGCAAATTTGCCGATTCAGAAGTATTCTTTTATATTATATGTTTAGTGTTGCTTGTGTTAATCTTAACTGTATTAACTAAGTACTATAGTTTCTCTTGTTGCAATTTAGTTATTACAATTTACTTATTAGAAGTTCTATGATTATGTAGAAAGCAAGTGAAAAGAATAAGGAAAATCGAAACAGTCAAACGCTCTTGCACACAGCAGGTTCAAAAAGTTTCGCAAGAATTCACAGAGATATGGTTTACACATGCAATGAATGGCTAAATGATTGATACGTTGTTTCATTGTAGGAAAAGGAATTGAACCAGACTCTAACAGATGCAGAAGTATTTCTAGAGACTCATAAAAAGAAGAAAAAAGCACAACCAGAAAAAACACTAGAAATGATTGATACATTGGAACAACTAACTCAGGAGCTAACTCAGGAACAAACTGAAGGAGAAAATGTAGATGCATGGCATCTTGTCAATAAAAAAGAACATCCTGGACGTGTGCGTCTCAGGGGACGGGTGATCACTCAAAGCATGCTACAAAGCAATAAGGAGAAAACCATTGATCCATGTGATCAAGTCCCTGAGTCAATTGTTCAAGCAATAACAAAGAAGGTGGTGGCCACTCAACAAGAGGAGATGAAGAAACAAAAAGAAGCTCAAGCTACAAGTATGATTCAAACATTTACAGATATGTTGAGTGAAGTAACTGGACGTCTAGTTAGTCCAAGCTTTGTTGACAGGTTTAAAGCGCGTACTAAACTTCCTGAAGAGGCTTCTAGTGTTCTAGATCATGAAGAGGCAAGTACCTTTTACACTTCGACATTTCTTAGCCTTCTTTGCTCTTGCTAGTGTTCTAGATCATGAAGAGGCAAGTACCTTTTACACTTCGACATTTCTTAGCCTTCTTTGCTCTTGAACTGGTTTCTGTAGTGTTTTCTTCAAGTACCTTTTACACTTCGACATTTCTTAGCCTTCTTTGCTCTTGAACTGGTTTCTGTAGTGTTTTCTTGACTCATTTCAGTTACTTCTTTTTCCTCATTGCTTTCTTCTCACTCTCCTTTGTGTTCTTCTGCCTCTGATGTGGTTTCATTCTCCTTTTGCTACAGTAATAATATATCAGTGATTCCAATTGAGCTATTCTCCTTTTAAGTTCTGTCGAGCAAACTATAGCCATCTATTTTTCTCATATAATTCAGTACATTGTGTAGCTGTTTGTTTTTGGTGTTCGTACTGGGTCCGCCTGTTTTCTTTTTTTTTGTGTTTTTTGTTTTTGTTTTTGTTTTTTGTGTGCGTGTGTGTGGGGATATTGATTCTTTCTGTAATATGCTGATGTTGGATTCCACGTATCTAATCTGTAAGCTCTTTTGTTGGTCCTGTGGCATGCTATTCATTCATATTTTTACTTTGGTTTGTCTTAATTGATACATGATATATTCTCCAATTAGTTTTTTATACTACCCTACCTTTTTTTTTTCACTCCATAGAGAGAGCATTTTCTTGGTGATTTAATAAGGTGAAAATATCAAATATTGTCACATGAAATTGACATGAACTTCAACGCCACAGAGAATTGAGAATGTTCAAGCGAGTGCGGATTCTATCAGAAGAGAGAGGTGAGGATATGTATTCCTCGATGTTGGGACACCTAATATGATTATCTTCCTAACTTCTTTAATGAAACTTCTTATCATTGAAAAATATTAGTTTCTCCTGTAAGTTTTCGTTGTTTCATTTCGCTTCGTATGATTCTTATGTACAATGTTTATAACTTGTTTTTAGGTGTACGATCAGATTTGTTAGTAGCAGATAGAGACCACCGATGAACTCCCAGATGGGTGATGATGGAAGATGATCGCCGTACGGCCTCATTATATTTCTCAGATTTTAGTACACTTGCAGGTGTATCTGTATTAATTCTGAAACTGAGAATTTTTTGCTCCTTTCATCACGCTTCTGGTACTCATGGATCAATATGTTCTCTTAACTTCCTTTTCAAACATCTTTTTTCCCTAATTTTATTATCATCATTGCAAAAATTATGCTGATTCATGGAAATTTACACAGGTACAGAAATGATGAAAGCCAAGATTGAGATTGATACTGACAGGTTCCTAGTAAGTATTTGACATTGAGGAACAAGTTTTTGGAAACAAATAGAGAATATAATCTTTGATCGAGAAGTTTCATATTTTGTAATCAAATGTTAATGTACATTGTTTGAATGTTAGTTCGGTATGATATTTTCTGAGTTGAAATGTTGGTAGTGTGGATTTAATACTTTATAGTTTTTATACTATACCGATATATGTTGGCACTTATCATTATGGTTGATTATGCTCAACATTTTCATTTTTATATTGTGTATTAAAATTTGACTTGGCCATGTTCTTAAAAAGATTGTCCAGGTAATTGAATACTATATTATTTTGACGTAGGAAACCAAGAATAGCTCAATCAGAGCTGTTGCAATAGCTCGATCAAAACCGCTGCGATAGCTCGATCAAAACTGTTGCGATAGCTCAATCCAAACTGTTGCGTTAGGTATTTTAAAACTGTTGCAATAGCTCCAACTGCCACCGTAGCTCTATCAAAACCATAGCTATAGCCTACTAAAACTGTTGTGTTAGGTCTTTTAAAACTGTTGCAATAGCTCCAACTATCGCTGTAGCTCTATCAGAACCATAGCTATAGCCTACTAAAACCGTTGCGTTAGGCCTTTTAAATCTGTTGCAATAGCTCTAATTGTCGCTGTAGCTCTATCAAAACCATAACAATATCCTATTAAAACCGTTACTGTAGCTGCTTGCCTGTTAAAACTGATGCGTTAGATGCGGGGGCAACGGTTCAAGAAACTGTCGCAATATAGTTCAAAATTGTTACGGTAGAGGTAGGGCAACGACAGCATATAAGACGGTTTGAGAACCACCGCACTTGCTCAAGGGCGACGGTTCCATGACTAACGCAACGGTTTTGAACCATTGCGTTAGAGCAAATATGTAGTAGTAAGGTAGACATAACAAGCCAACTGCGAAGGATATAACTAATTGAAGAGATCTATTGTTATGCGAGAATTTAGGTTTTTTTTAACTTAAAAACGGGAAGAGATTTCCTGTTCATATACATTTATAATTAAAAAGACTAACCAGTGTATCTTAGTGATTACATAACAAAACGGACGTAGAAAGAAAGAAAACTCTGAGAAGAAGAGTAACGAAAGGTAGAAGATGTAGTCTTCACCTACCAAACTTGACCCCCATGAAAACAACTACTAAACTGACAAAACTATATACTAAAAAAAAGAAAAAAACTACATCTTCTACAAACCAAAAGAACACACTGATGCTATTGATGATAGTCCACAGTAGGACTCCATGAACAAAAAGAATACACACGTAGAGTAGACTAATCAGTGATGAAGTTATCTCCCACTTCATCAGCAGCTTTCTTCTTAGCAATCTCATCGAACTTCAGTTTAGTCGCTACCTTGAAAATCCTTTTTGCCATCCTATCTTCGTGTGCACCTGCCCATAAGAGAGAGTATCTAGCAACATTAGCTGCAATACACTACCACATAATTGATCTATTATAACGGTTAAGGCGCAACGGTTTTAACTGTTGCGTTAGATATCTATCGTAACGGTTTTCAGGGTCTAATACAACATTTAATATAAAATGTTGCCATAGGTCTAATAATTGTTTCTGGGCTTAATAATTGTTAGTGGCCTTTGGAGAGCTTTAGTAAAGCCCATAGTTTGACCGCACCGCTTAAAGGAAATCTGTCTCTCTCTCAAATCCCTAAAATCGCCGCCGAGCCAAAAAAATCCGCTCCCTAAAATCGTCGTGGCCAAGATCTTCATATAATCGGCGATCTCATCACTGAATTCGTCACTGTTTTCATATTGGATCTTGTTGTGCGCAGCGGAAATTTCGGCAGCACTTCGGCAGCACAACAAGAGAGATTAGATCGATAAGAATTCCCGTCTCACCAAGGAAACAAGAATCTGAAGCGGATATCTCAACCAAGTGAGATATCGGCTCTTCCTCTCATCAGTTCTAGGACTGACCTGTCGAGGGATCCTACAAGCTATTACAAATCTCGGCAAGAACACAAATTTTTACGTGGTTCGGCAAATAGCCTACGTCCACGGGGCAAGGAGGGGGAGATGTACTATTAGAGGGAGAGATACAACTGGGGTTTACAATCACTCAATCTAAACCCTCACACAAACTCTCAAATCCCTCATACAATTATCTCTCTCAAAAGGGGAGCACAAAACCCTAAAACAACTGCACACCGAAACAAATTAACCCTCTGCCTTTGCTCCTGCTGCAGCCGCAAAAGCAAACAAAACACCTCCTGCTCAATTGCTTTTTCCCAGCCGCCAATCAAAAACAAAGGACTCCTTGCCTCTCCTCTTTGCTGCAGCCGTCAAAGAAAAGACCCAACCTTGCACAGAAAACTAGGGCATGATGCAAAGCTATATTTATAGCTTGAATCACAACCGGGTGGGCCTGCTTGCTAATCACGCGGAAACAAACCAACGTGGTAGACCCCACCACGTTCATAATGAAGTTATCTCCCACTTCATCAGCAGCTTTCTTCTTAGCAATCTCATCGAACTTCAGTTTAGTCGCTACCTTGAAAATCCTTTTTGCCATCCTATCTTCGTGTGCACCTGCCCATAAGAGAGAGTATCTAGCAACATTAGCTGCAATACACTACCACATAATTGATCTATTATAACGGTTAAGGCGCAACGGTTTTAACTGTTGCGTTAGATATCTATCGTAACGGTTTTCAGGGTCTAATACAACATTTAATATAAAATGTTGCCATAGGTCTAATAATTGTTTCTGGGCTTAATAATTGTTAGTGGCCTTTGGAGAGCTTTAGTAAAGCCCATAGTTTGACCGCACCGCTTAAAGGAAATCTGTCTCTCTCTCAAATCCCTAAAATCGCCGCCGAGCCAAAAAAATCCGCTCCCTAAAATCGTCGTGGCCAAGATCTTCATATAATCGGCGATCTCATCACTGAATTCGTCACTGTTTTCATATTGGATCTCATCTCCAATCTCCTCTCCGATATCATCTTCGAGCTTGTTGTCATTCTCGCTCGTCGTCGACCTACTCTCGTTGGTCTCGTCGCCATTTTCAGTCCTCGCCGGAGTCCATTTACTTTCATCGCCGTTTTCATCTCGTTCGTTTCATCGTTGAGCTACTCTCGTTGCTCCAGAAATCGAGCCCAGATCTCGCTAACGGGAGCTTTCTAGGGTTTGCTCCACCTATCTCTTCTCACGATATTTTGATTTCTCAATTCGCACTACCGCTTTCTGAGTTCAAATTGATTTTTCTAGTTAAATTTAGTGATTTTTAAAGTTATTGACTAGCATATAAATTAGCCGGGAAATCTGTGATGATGTATATGAAATCTTTTCAATGACCCGCTTAGTTATTGCATGTTATATATCACTTTTATTTCTCAAGTTTTGTCCCAAAAAAATTGATAATTTGTTATGATGTGTATCTGAGTCATGTTCCCCAATTAAATGAGTTGCAGACAACTTGTATGCTATATATAATCCTTATCATCACAAAGAAGATAATGTTATATATCACTTTTTATAAGTCATACCTAATATCAGTATAATCTTATGTTCTTGAGCCAAGAAAGGGTTCATATAAGCAATTGACATGTGGCATATTTTATTGATTATATTCAGAAATCCATCTTTATTCCTAAAACATAAGAGTTCACTTGTGACCAGCATGGGGCTGATAAGTCGGAAGGCTCAATTGACATATAAATGCGGAACATTGTTAACTTAGATATGGACCTGTAAAGGAAACTTTGGTGTGGAGCTCAAGATTCTGAGATTAGGATCATTCTTCTGAGTTCTAGGAAAGAAGTTCAGAGACAATCACCTGCATGTTTTGTTGTTTAGTGTACTTTAATCATGTATTATAAACTGAAATAATACATGATTGCTCTATTATTGAGCAAAATTCATAACTAGCTGTAAATAGTTGAACAAGCTTGGTTGTTATGTAATTTTTCTTATTAAACTAGTGAAAGAACCAATGCACACATGTTGACCCGTACAGATGGGAACATCTTGGATGCATCTGTGCATCATATAGTTTCAGAAGTTGTTGCCTATTGAAGTTGATTTTGACCTTCTTTTTTTGAAGTGAAAAAGCAGGGTTGAGGCCCTGCTCATATGAGGATATTATTGAAAACCAAAACATTACAGATAGACATCACAACTAGGTGAAGAATCGCAGAGGGTGGAGCAGATAGGGAGCGGACATATGTCGTCACCTACCAAACTGAACCCGCAGCGATACTACAGCTAGAAGGCACATATTACATACTTACATACTAGAGATGATAGTAGCATACTAGAAGACATAACAACTTAGATAAGGAAAGAAAACAACATCAGTTTTTCCAACACAAGGGGAAGTAACCATATCCAGCAGAATTATGGTGAAGCGTGAGTTGGAGGACTTGGGAAAAAGTAGTCCCCAGAGGCATCCCATATCCAGCAGAATTATGGTGAAGCGTGAGTTGGAGGACTTGGGAAAAAGTAGTCCCCAGAGGCATCAACATTCTTATTGGCAAGCTCCTGAAGTCCGATGTTTGATGCAGCCCTACGGAGTCTCCTAGCCAATCTCTCCTTTTCGGCACCTGCCCAAAATATTGTATATCTCCCAATATTAGAAGCAATATGAATTGGATTAGATTGGCTATCCTTAAAAATAAGAGTGTTTCTACTGAACCAGATCCACCAACAAGTGCAGGGCAACAGGATCTTCCAGATAGATTTAATATCCTTGTAGAGGTTGGGAGATTTGTGGAACACAAACAGCTCTTCCATAGTCTGAGGCCAACAGTTTGTGGGAAGAGAGGGGAAGATGAAGGACCAGATGGTGCGAGCAAAAGAGCATTTAATAAAAAGATGATCATGAGATTCTACCCCAGATAGGCAGAAAGAACATCTCGGGTCCCCAGTCCAGCCCTTAAGGATCAAATTTGCCTTCGTGTTCAGTTTCTTATTGGAGATGATCCAGAATAGGACTTTAACCTTGATAGGAATAGATGATTTCCAAATCATACTAAAGAATTTTGATTTGATGCCCCCGGAGTTGACAAAGGAGTAGAAGGATTTAACTGAGTAAATCCCCGATGGAAGGAGCGGCCACCAAAGCTCATCCGGAGTAGAGGAGATACTGAGGTTGGATGAAGCTAACAGAGCAAGAAGGTGATTAATATCTAACCTTTCTGAGTGCGAGATTCCTCTTCTGGTAAGAGGATGCCAATACCAAACATTGTTAATGAAAACATGATTTTATCCCTTGAGATATTAAATTCCATAGTGCAAATCAATGTTTAAGCTTTTCATTTGGAATTACCTCTCTGATTTGCTGCAGCAAAAGCTATGCACTTTATTTTGGTCCCTTCATGCGCAGTTTATTCTGTACAAACCAGTAGAATCATTGTAGTCCTTGAAAACATATGGTTGCACACTTGGATTGGCTCAGTCCAAATTCTGCTGCTTGGACTGCTAAAATTGAGCCTGCCATGTCAGTGCGTGCAGATCACCCAAATTCTTGTAGAAACAATCCCTACTCTCCTTTACATTATATACTATTTAATGCAAAGAATCACTTAACAAAATGTCAAGGGATTTTTGGAACTTATACAATAATAGCTTAATTTCTTAACCATATCTGATAAATTAATTCTGATTTTCATACTAGCCAAAATACTTAAGCACTCCAAAATGACACTGATAAATTTTGACTAATATTAACCACAAGAAGACTCCAAAGAAGCATTGGAATAAATTTAGTATATGAGTCTACCATCAATGAGCACGGTATTGGAACATTTACAGCATTCATATCAAGAGAATCATTTACTTCTATTTCTTTATGTTATTGCAGTGCAACTCTACCTAGAGAACCAATGTCCTCTAGTATTACAGGGAGATTGCCTAGCTTGGAGGAGCTAGAGTCCTATGCCCTTGAGCAATGGGAGGTTCTCTCTCTGTCCCTCCCTGTACTTTTCTTATATATTACTCGCTAAGGATGTCACTATTTCCAATGGTTTTGCATCTTATTCTCTATTCCAAGTTATATGGTTTGGACCATCTGCTTCATATTTTATGTTCCTAAGGATAATAGTGTTCTTTCACCTTGGGGTAGACCAGTGTTTCTTGTTGCAACTCATAAGCTCAGCTCAAGCAGAGAGGTTAACGAATTTCTGGTCCTCTATGCTACGAGTTTTTCAGCGAGGTCTTTTGAGTTTAAGGTTCTCTGCTTCTAAGTTTCCTTATTCAAGTTGGTGGATTCTCAGCATATAGATATTTAATACGTAAACATTCATGAAACATTTAGAAGTGTTGATGCCATGCAGGGAAAATGAAGCTGCGACGCTAATTAAGTATGGTTTTCAGTTCCTGGTTTGTTTCTATTAAAACTTCATTAATAAGTTCGTTATTCACCTTGATATTACCTTATGGTTGTTTCTTTAAACAGCTGATGGAAACCAATGCCCAACTGTGGTACATAGTAGGGGAGTATATCTCATCTTCTGAGGTAAGAAGTTCTAGCACTCATTCCATTTTAAGGGGAAGACACAGTTGATGCCCTATCTATCTATGCACATCTTATACACATGCATTTATGTTGGTCCAATGTACCTATGTATGCGCACACGTATAACTATTCATGCATTAATTAATTTATACATACATATATACATGTATGGACGTATGCATGCTTACATTTATGTGACTGTTTGTGTGCATGTGTAATGTACTTTTTCTATATTCTAATGTTTTGGTTTTTGCTCATTGTTTGAAGGATTGTGGCGTGGACCCCACAGATCTGATATTGTTTCTTCTTGAGCTTAGTTTTCATACCATGGGCAAGGTATTGACTGTATGTGCTTTTCATTATGAAGTTACTTCATGTTATATACATATATAATGTATTAGATTTATAAGCAAAATCTCTTCTCGAGTTAGTGAGTTTAAAACTAAATAGGGATAAAATTTTTAGTTTTTAGGGATAAAATGGCATTGCTACATTAGCGTGAAGAAAGTCACAAGAATTAACGGTTAGAGAATTTTACAAAACTTGATATGACAATTTTGCCCTTAGGGATGCATGTGCAGACATTGACTAGTATTTGGACAAACTGTAACTGATACTGTTTGTGCCGCAGGATAGAGTATCAACTTCCAAACCTTATTGCTGGATCTATAACAAAAGAAAGTGTAGACAATGCTTTTGAGAAGGGAATTACACTTCCAAACCTTATTGCTGGATCTATAACAAAAGAAAGTGTAGACAATGCTTTTGAGAAGGGAATTACTTCTGAACAGGTAAGATTTGTATTTTACACTTAAGTTCTGTTATCTATCAGAGGACATGGTATTGCTCAAATTTATTCCTTAATTCTTCCTCCCCATGATTTGGTGCCTTTGGCTTTTCGTTGTAAATTTCTTTCAGCCATCAGTTCTTAATGTTATTTTCTGAACAGAATCAAAGAAGTTCAGGGACAATCACCTGCATGTTTTTGTTGTTTAGTGTACTTTAAATCATGTATTCTTTCTGTTAGCTACTTATTTTCTGTTTTGGGTTTGCTTCGATTAGGTGTTATTACAAGCAGATTGCTCTAGTTTTGCTTACCCTTGTTATTTTACCCCCACTGGTTTCTGATTTTGATTAGACTGTGGACACGTTCATAGAATAGAGTAGCATGCCACATTCAACTCCAATAGACCATTAATTTTCATTCATGCGATACATTTTTTAGTGTGAACCATCTTAAATCTCATGGACATGAAGGATGCATTCATATAACCACCTCTAAATGTTTATACACCCCGACAATTTCATCTTTTTATTTGGTTTGAACTTAGCTCAAAATTGAAGTATGACCACCAAATCTTTAGAGGTAATAAGTTCTCATGCTACTATTTATTGGTTCTCATGCTACTGTTTTTTTTTTTGCAATCCTTTGATAACATGTACTTGGTGTACAAAGCATGATAAATATTGCTATCTGAGTATGCTTCATTGCTCATCACATATCAGATGACATCTTCTGATTGCTTGCTTTACTTCAGTGTTGGTTGAAGAAACAAAAGGATGTCCTATTTCCTGCTTTACAAGAGACTGGGGAAAATGTTATCTGGACTTCTAGGCTTATTTTTGGAAAAGGAGAGGTATTTACTTTCTTTTGATTTCATTACATTCTTTTATTTTATCATTTTCCTAATATATATTGCTAACTTATCTTGCTAACTTATCTTGCTAAAGAATATCAATTTCGGGTACTATTTGCTGCCCTGATTTATGTTAATAGCGGAGCTTAAGATATGCAGAGGACTTTCAGTTATTGAAGGGAAAAACAGCGAAATTAGGTATGTTCCTGATCCAGCAATCACAATCACTTGTTCTAGTATGAGGTATGGTAATTACAGGTGTATTTTCGAAGAACAAGGGAACAGACACAAGACTACACTCTTATTACAGGGGCGAAATTTTTTTCTCCGACGCTGACTCTAATACAATGTTCTTTTACGCTTGCAGAAGAACAATATGGACATCCCAAGAATAGCTTCCTTCGGAGTCGCCATCCATCCAGAGCCTTTTCTAGTGCTGAAGGCAGAACAAATTAGAGGTACAAACATGCCTCTCTTTTGAAGCTTTAGGCACATAATCCACATTTGACATGTTTTCGCCGACAACAGCAGCTTAGCTCAGTGATGTGGGCAGATGTACATAAACTGAGAAGGGGAAAAAAGAAGAAGAAGAAGAAAAAAGAGTTGAATTAGAAATTTCAGACGCATTGTAAAGCACTAAAAGGCAACATCAAAATAAAGTTATACAAAGTTGTACTACTACATAGAAGTGAAACCCAAATAGAAAAGAACTCCCAAATATTCAATGCCCGAGTTGTGAAAACTTAATAATTTGTTGCTACTCAAATCTTAAAATTGTACATTATTAAAGAGAACTGGGTCTTCTCTACTCCTTATTTATTTATTTATTTAGATCACGGTTTCCTCCACTCTCGATTCATACAAATAGTACCCAAAATTAATGTGAAGATTACATGATATTTGATACGTTTCTTTATTTTTTGCAGGGGATATAAAGACTTAAATAGGAGAATGCGGTCAAGATGTCTTTGATATATGAATCTTTTAGAACAGACTTGTACATGTGAATTGATCATATTTTGATGGTTGTGAATTGATCATATTTTGATGGGTTGAAGTTGTCTTGTAACTACTTATTTTTGAATGATGGGCTTAAAACATATGAATGCTTCATTATTTTTTATTTTGATGATATCTTAATGTAGTGTGTTCTTATTCCATTTTTATTTTGGTTTACGTAATTGTGTTTGCTTATTGGTCAAATTTCTTTAAAGTGCTGATATAGCCCTATAAAACTGTTGCTGTAGCCTTATAAAACTGTTGCCATAGCAAAGCAAAACGTCGAATTAGCTACAAAACAACTGTTGCCTTTGGTCCCTGATTTTGGAAAAACCGTTGCCCTTGTGTACGAAACCGCGACATTAGGTATCAAGAAACTATCGTCAAAACCTGTTGCATTTGCAATAACTGTTGCCTTTGTGTATGGAACCGCTACATTAGGCATCAGTAAACCGCTACAAAAAACATTGCATTTTGTGAAAAACGTTGCATTAGCCTTGTCTTAGAAACCGTTGCGTTAGGTTTTGCAACCGCTGCCTTATGGCTAGGGCAACGGCAGCAAACCGTTGCGTTAGGTTTTGCAACCGCTGCCTTATGGCTAGGGCAACGGCAGCAATGAAGACAGTTTGATAACCATTACGCTTGAGCAATTGCAACGGTTTAGATGCTAATGCGACAGTTATAAACCGTTGCGTTAGAGCAAATATGTGGTAGTGATATGATCTGAATTAGGCTGAACATCTCTAAATATAAGATAGTTGCGACTGTTCCAGATCCACCAGCAACAGCATGGCGGCAAAACTTTCCATATAGTTCTGATGTCACGATTGATGATAGGAGAATCACTGAGGAGGATCAGATCGGTCATGAGATGAGGCTAAGTAGCTGCATTGAAGCTAGAGAGGAGAGAAGAGCAGATAGAGGAGGCAAAGGGCATTTGATAAACAAGTGATCCTGGTTTTCTACTTCCAACCTGCAGAATGGACATCTTGGGTCCCCACTCCATCCCTTAGAGACAAGATTGGCCCTAGTAAAGAAAACTTTGACTTTCAATGGGTTAGGAGATTTCCATATGAAGTTAAAATATCTAGAATTCAAGCCTCCAAATTTTAGCGCTGAGTAATAAGATTTCGCAGAGAAAAGACCTGAAGGATGAAGAGGCCACCAGAGAGTATCAGGAGAAGAAATGAGCTTACAAGAGAGAGGTTCCAGATGAGAGTTCAGAGCAGCGATATTATATCTCTCTTCTGTCGTGATGCCTCTTCTAAGAATGGTGTGCCAATGCCAAGTCTGTCCTAACGAAAAGCCTTGGGATCGAGTGTTGCATCCATTGGAGAAGGCAAGATTGAAAGCCTTAGGGAAGATACTATATACGGAGTTAGCACCAGACCATCTAAGGGGGGGGGGGGGTGATTAGGGTCTTATGCTAATCTAATCCGATTAAATGCCAATTAAAATTAATTAACAAGTTATCCTAGCAAGTATGAAATATAACAAGTTACATGAGCTAGGATAAGCAATATGAACTAAGGGATATATCCTACCAAAGAGATATACAATATGATATATGCAAGGATATGTAAACTAACACAAGGGTAAACAAAATGAACTAGATAGTGGATGAAATAAATGAGCAATGTACAATTGGCGATATAAGATAAATACAAAAGCAAATGCGCCAATGACAAACTCAAACACACTCAAATGAATAACGTTTACACCTCACAGTATCGGTTTTCAACGCTCACCGATCAACGTCACTCCTCACACTCGGTTTCTAGCTCACCGAAAACCTCACTACACACTCGGTTTCTAGCTCACCGAAAACCTTACAACACTCACAAAGTAAATACAACAAATTTGTTCTCTACAATAGATGAGAACACAATGTAGCACAACTCAATGTTACAATCTCTCACCACCCAACTATACTATGTATGCAAATACTATAAGCTCAATGTGGGTGTGTGTAACAATGAGTAAAATAAAATCTAACTCAATTAACAAACTAGCAATAATAAGAATATGAAAATCAATAATGAAATTGCTAGAGAAAAGAGTTAGAAAACTTCTCTAAGAACACAAAGAAGAGGATGAAGGGGATTGAGAATGAATCCCTCAATCTGCAGTGAAAACTTCCTCCTTTGTAAACAGAAACCCAAACTTAAACAAACAGTAAAACCCTAAACCCTTGTTTAAACACTTTGTTTAAAAACTTCTTGGATATTTGAAAGAGAGCAGCAGTAGGGTATTTATACCCACTCTAAATCTTAGTCAAAACCCTTAACAAAAGACAAAAACAGCCCCAGCAAACAGCTCAGGAAATAGCCGTTGGAAAAGCAACGGATCTATTGTCGGTCGACCGGAAATTTCGTCGGTCGACCGACGGAGAGCAAAAACACGAAAAAGCAGTTCTGGACCATCGTCGGTCGACCGGTGCGATCGACCGATGGAGCTTTCGGTCGACCGGGCCGGTCGACCGACCAACTCTCTGGACCATGCTGACGAAAGAACAAACGAGCGGTCGACCGGATCGGTCGACCGAAAACTGATATGCAGAAAAACAGGTTTTAATAGCTGATTTTGAGGCTTTGGAAAATATGTTAAAAATAACAAATGAAGTCCAAAAATAATGAAACTTTGGAAAATGTATATAAACATGTAAATAAACATATTACAAAAAGAATTTTCTAAATTGCATTTCCCATTTGTGAAAAATCATCATTTTGCAAAATAGTTCAAAACACGTCCGAAACATGAAAATATGAGATACTTGAATTTTGATGTTTTGACATAAACCAACTTTTGAAACTTTGTGAAATGTTTTTGTAGACTTAGTAAAACATGTATAAACTGATATTGAATCCAAAAAACTAAGAATATAGAATTTTCACAAAATTGCATATTCTATGCAATGTTTTCAAAAACACAGTAGTAAATATGAAATATATGATTTCATATTTATAAACATGAAAACCCAAAACATATGTATGCATATATATAAAACTATATATATGCATAGAAACCAAAAATTATGTATATATATATATAACTATATATGTACTAAGAAACCAATAGATGTGTGTGTATAGATAATTGAGCTTAGAGTATTAAACACACATAATATAAATCTAAACTAGATTACCCAAGCTTGATCTTGATCTTCATTGTAGCTTAACTTGGTACACATTGCGGATGAAGCTAAACTTGGATCTTGAACTTGAATTGCATAAGCTTCACCGACATTCCGCCAACCTCCTTTGAATATGATCGTTGAAGCTCTATTCCATCCATCCTCCAACAACGTTGTTTGTCTACAGTACATAGGAATACACAAACACTAGACAAACAACATTAGTAGTAAATTGTTTGTAAATCATCATCAAAACAAGAAGGCCAACAATCTCCCCCTTTTTGATGATGACAAACAATTTACAAAAAGGATATATGCATGAAACGAAATGAATATATAAATTACAATTCACATGCATATAAACAAGAAAGAATATACATATACTCACAATATTTCTCCCCCTTTGACAACATCAAAAAGGGGACAAAAAGAATAAGAGAGCGAAAGCTCCCCCTATCAATAAGCATAGGTGAGTGTAAAAAGAATATATATAGGGATTGCTCCCCCTATCAAAAAGCCATATAGAATATATGCAATGAAGATCATGGCAACATATATATGAGCAAGCATACATGAATATGCTAAAAATTTACTCACATACATGAAGATAATAAGAACACATATAAATATGTCATTATGAAAATAGTGTCTCATTAACACAAACATAAAGATCAAAAATAGATTTATGAAATCAAAAGAAAAGGAACATGAAAATCGTGTAAAGGTTTTCAAATGAAAACAAATCAACCAATGAAATCATAAATCACAAGTAAAAAATATGAAACCAAATCATCATTGATTTTTAAAAAAAATCAAGAGAGGTAACCACTAGCTCTTGAGCTAGTATCAACCCATATGAAAATTTTAGCATCCGGTAAACAAGATTTGGGAATAAACACCCAATAAATCCGGAGGGTTATATAAGAACAAACATCTCATCAAAACAAAACAAATAATCATGAAAACAAAAGATTCTATCAATTATAAATTGTTTTCATATAGAAAGATTTCAAAGCATAATTTTCAAAACCAAGATAAGAAGGATAAAAACATTAAAATTCTTAGTTTGAAAATCAAATTTGTTTTGGTACCCAAGAACTCTTGGTACCAAAAGATTTAGGGACATGACCCCTATCATTTAAGCTCAAAGCCCTAGGGTTATGAACCCTCTTAGGCACATATGGTGCACTAACATGGTCAAAACAATATTCATTCAAATGATCTATACACATGAGCATGCTTATGATGAGCAATGGGTGCATGTGTGTGTACATGTGATGAAGAAACTTGATGAGATGCACAAGAAGGATTAATATTCTTATGTTTTTGTGCATCATAGCAAAGTTTAGCTAAATGGCCTTTACGACCACAAATGGAGCACTTGTAAACTTTGCTATACAAGTGTGCATAGTGTGTAGGTGATTTTGTAGCACTAGATTTAGCACACTTGTCCATAAGTTTCTTATGGTTATCAATGCATGTTTTTAAAGTTGAATCTAAGCATGATATGCGTTCCTTAACAAGATTCAAATCATCATTATGCACAACATCATTGATAATAGAAGTAGAGCATGTATGGTTATCAAAATCATTTCTAATAGCTACTACTTCTAGCATGACATTATCTCTTTCATGAGTTAACTTAGCAAAGTTTGAAAGCAAAGAATCATGATCCAATTTTAATTTTTCATTGTTTTCTTTAAGGATCACATTTTCATTAGAAATAGTTTCAAACTTAGATGCTAACAACTCATGATCGGATTTCAAATCCTCATGCTTGCTTTGTAAATTAATAAAATCTTTATGCAATTTGTTATAGGCATGCAATAATTTTTTACTAGCACAAGCAAGTTCATCACTAGATAAATCATTATCGGGTTCGAACTCGCAAACCTCACTAGGGCTATCGCCTAGTGGCCGTGTGCATGATGAAGCTCCAATATTACTTGAGGAA